TCTCGCTGACCTGCCCATTGCACCCTTACAATGTATTTTCCTGCTTACTCTAATAAATTGGCCTTTCCTGACCTACAGCTGTCTTGGTAAATTCTTCTTATCCCTGTGCCACCAGCCCAGATAGTTGTAATGACCGGCGACATACGTGAAATCTAAAAATTGAAACATAGCAATAGAGAGTAGAATGCTGGTTACCAGAGGCTGAAAGAAGAGGGGCCTGGGATGGCAAAAGCGGCAATGTTGGTCAAAGGCTACAGAGTTTCAGTACGATGGGAGGAATAAGCTCTGGTGATTTAATGCACAGCAAGGTGACTGTTGTTAATAACAGTGTATATTTCAAAATGGCTAGTGGATTTTAAATGTTCTCATTGCAAAGAAATAAGTATGTGAGGTGATACATGTTAATTAGCCTGATTTGCTCATTCCACAATGTTTACATGTATTGAAACATCACACTCTACCGCATACATATACGCAATTATTGTTATTATTTTTTTAGAGACAGGGTCTTGTTCTGTTACCCAGGCTGGAGTACGGTGGTGTGATCATGGCTCACTGCAGCCTGGAACTCCTGGGCTTACACAATCCTCCCACCTCAGCCTCCCAAGTAGCTGGGACTACAAGCATGGGCCGCCACACCCAGCTAATTTTTAAATTTCTTTTTGTAGAGACGGAGTCTCACCATGTGGCCCAGACTAGTCTCAAACTCCTGGCCTCAAGGGATCCTCCTGCCTCAGCCCATATAAACAATTATTATTTGTCAATTTAAAAATAAAATAAGGCTGGGCACGATAGTTCGTGCCTGTCATTCCAGGACTTTGGGAGGCTGAGGCAGGAGGATCACTTGAGCCAGGAGTTCGAAACCAGCCTGGGCAACATGGTGAAACCCCGTCTCAACTAAAAATACAAAAGTTAGCTAGGTGTGGTGGCACATGCCAGTGGTCCCAGCTACTCCAGAGGCTGAGGAGGGAGGATTGCTTGAGCCGAGGAGGTGGCGGCTACAGTGAGCCAAGATCGTGCCACTGTGCTCCAGTCTGGACAACAGAGCGAGAGGCCTGCCTCAAAATTAATTAATTAAAATTTAAATTTAAACATTTATAAAGAAATACAAAGGATGTAGCCAAAATGCTTTTGACAAAGAACGAAGTTGGAGGCGTGTATTTTGGTTTGGCTTTAGAAGAATGATTTTATGGTATTTCATTTTTTAACATACGTAGACTTTGTCAATTTCACTTGGAAATATATCCGTGCGGAACACTGGACAACTGTGTTACTTCCCTTCACCTCAGCATGGGCAGCTTCCCCCCCATGTTTGGAACTAGGGCCCTGGAGTGGAAAGGCTGAGATTCCAGGCAGCCTTGATCAATTCCTGTGCGCAGGCCCATCCACGCCTTCCTGGCCAGTTTGCAGCGTGGGTTCAAGCCACATCCCTCCCCCTGGATTTGGGTCTCCTACTTGCGCTGCCATGGGTTTCGCCTGGCAGAGCCCTGAGGATTTGAGCTGTGTGTCTTCCTCAGGGGTGACATTGGTTTCGCCGCCCCTGCCCACCCTGGGAGTGACGGCCGGGGGTCCCCTACCTGCCCGCTGTGAAGCAGCTCCCGTTAGCAGCACCGATGGTTGAAAATGCCACAAAAAGTGGAACGACCCAAGACGCTGGATAGAGAACACGGTCACCAAACGTCTGTAAGAGAAGCGAGATGAGTCCTGAGGGTCTTCTCGGCCTCCTAGAGCGGCCGGCCCCCAAAAGCTATTCTGGCCTCCCAGGGGACCCAGGGACCCACCTCGCCTCAGGGCACAGCCTCTGACTTCTCCACTGCAGAGGAGAGAGGAGAACGCCACTCACCTACCTCCAGATATTGTGATGGCAAGAGAAATCTCTTATGCACTACTCCCTGGCATAAATCAATCAATCAATCTATCTATCAGTCAATCAATCAGACAGAGTTTCGCTCTTGTTGCTCAGGCTGGAGTGCAATGGTGCAGTCTCAGCTCACTGCAACCTCTGCCTCCTGGGGTCAAGCAATTCTCATGCCTCCGCCTCCCAAGTAGCTGGGATTACAGGCACGTGCCACCACACCGACCTAATTTTTATATTTTTAGTAGAGACGGGATTTCACCATGTTGGCCAGGCTGGTCTTGA